AGTCTCGGACATTACCGACAAACTATGTCCATTACCGTGCCCCGCGCGCGAAAATATAGCGTCCCACAAAAGCTGAACTTTGGGGGTTGCTGCATCCCCCCAGAACAAAAAATTTTAAAAATTGTTTTTAAATCTGCAAGCTTTTTTCTAAAACAGGATAATTCCTTTTACATTCTGTATGGGTCAAATTATATTTGCATATATAAAATTTTTCATTGAATATTATGATACTAATTGTTATTATAAAATTCAGTTAATGAATGCACTGCTATATATAATTATATTATGAATTTTTTTTATTTTATTAAAGTTTAAATGAGAAACGTATGTGTGTGTGTGTGGTTAAATAGAATATTATAATTATTTTTTGTCCACAGACAGAAAAAATAAGCCATTTATCATAATTCTCCTTATTTTCTTTTCGTATCATACAATTTTATCATATAATTTTATTTTCAAATACAACAAAAAAAATATTTTTTAACATAGTAATAGATAAATAGGAATATAACTGCAGATTTTTAAATAAATTCATGAATAACATATAAAAACATTTTCTAAATTGTTCATAACTGTGTGTATTAAGTTACATTTACTAGTTATATGAAAGCAATACTAATGCGATATCTTATTATTGAGGGTTGAAGGAGGCAAAATAGAAGGGTCACATGTTTAGATGGATTTAATCAACCCAGACCTAAATTATTGATGAGTTTCGAAAAGGCAATGGCGTTTGCTGGTCTAGCAAAATACAATAACGTACACAATACTTTAAGCAATTCATCGACATTAATGCAGCTATTTATATAAAATTCTATCCATTGCTCATGGCTCATTCATATGATACTACGCGCATACGCGTGCACATTCCGTGAACACCATGTACATATCGTTACTGAGCTTTCAAACGAGCGCGGGTAAGTCGCTCAAATTGGTACGGATTTCCAGCCCAACACCTCGATTGTCCTCGCTAAAGAGTGCTTTGCGGGCATACGTGAATTCACGCCTCGAACACACGTACGTCGTCGTTGTCCCTCTCACCCTTCATCACCTCTTACCACAACACGTTTCCTCCGCGCTTCTTTTCCCTAATCTTCTCTCTTTCTCGCTCTCCTCGTCGCTTCGTAGAAGTTGTCTCTTTCTCTCCTGTCTGCGAGTTCCTTTCCTCGGTAATCCCTACTTTGCTCGTACATGTACCACCCTTTCTGTTCATCCCTTCGTTACTCATATATCTCACTTCCCTTTTTCCTCTTTTCCCCTTTCTCTTTCTCTCCCTCTCTCTCTCTCTCTCTTTTATATATTAATCCTTCCATTATATTTCGCGCTTTTACACTTATTTATTTCTTAACTTTTTTACTCTCTTTTTCTGTTCTTTTATCATCTAATCTTCTTTTATGTCGTTATCATTATTTTCCTATTATCCCTTATCATATAATTTTTTTTTATTTTCTACGGATGCACATTTGTCCTTTCTTATTCGACTTTCTAATAAAATATGTTTCTTATTTTTATATTTTATTCCAGTTAATAATATATTGATCTGTTACCTCAATATTTCCTATATTTTCTTTCTTATTCTTATATCCTTACTTCTTTATATTCTAGATATTATATTTTCAGTTAATAAGATATTCATAATAGATAATTATTTTGATATTGGATTTATATTCAGCGATCTGAAAAACTTTTAAATTCGAATAGATAGAATCGAAAACTTTCTATTTGTGATATAGATTCTTAGTAATCTAATTCTCAACTTTTCCACAATAAATCTCATATTTAACCATGTATATTTTTTAACTATAATTAACACAATAAATTCCTTTTAGGAGTTAACAGTTTTAACAACATATTTAATATTGTGTTTGCAATAAAACCTCTCCAACACGTCATATACCTTTAATATGACAAAATACAATAAATAATGTTTCTTGCAATTTTAATTGCAAATTTCTCAAAATTGTAACGTGATGGAGCAATTTGGAAACTGGAATCGTATATTCAGTGTTTAAAAAAATTACGGGAAGTGACTAGTCTTGTTTTTATATGTTCACAGAAAAATTATTTTTGAAAACTGTGTTATTACAAATTCTCAAATTTTCAATAAATAGCGAAAGAGATACCCCACATGCTGTGCAGCAAACATAAAATTACGAATAGCGACTCTTTCGAGAGAAATCGCATGTCACGTTATCGAGAAGACACGTTCGAGTAGCGTGCCGAATGGACCGACGTGTTCCGCAGCCGTCCGCGTGCACGCCTTCTTCGACCGTAAAAGAGACCCGTAGAGAAGACGCCTTTCAAGGAGTAACCGCAAATCCTAGTATAATACTAATAGGACCATAATAGGGTCAATAGAGCTTAGCCGCGCGACGACAATAAGATCTTGTCAAAATACGCCGGGTAACACGAGCCTAGGAAGCGGATTTTTCTCAATGGGGGTCTGCCTGGTCCCCCTCTCTCGCGTCAACCGGTACAAGGCGATGCGCATTATGGGGTTTTCAAAAAAATCTGAAACCTTCCACCCGGGTGCGCGATTGAGGTTTAAGTTTCACCGCGTTCGGCAACCGCCGATCCCGTGAAAGAAGAACGAATGGGAAAAACCGAAGAATGCCGTATCAGCCTAACACGCTATTCGGATTTCAAGTGAACAATTCCGCACACGATATATGTATGCGATTTATGTTGAATGCGAGCTCGATTTCCGGTGACGTTTTCGTTTTCAGATAACCACGTTATCGCGTGTGATAATCTTTCAGCTAATTGAGGGCATTGTGAAAAAAACAATAACGTTTAATGAGACAATTGTGTTTTCTCCTAATATTAGTTCGATTTTTTAATATATCCTTTGTACTAAATCTTCTGAAAAGATTACACCTCATCGATCGCTTTGATTTTCATATACATATATTATAGTGGATGGAATCCGCTTGCATATGTACTTTGTGTGTGATAAAGTAAAACAATAATATACATCGTTTTCTGCATTATTTTAAAATTTACTTTCCTCTACGTGTAATTCTTATTTCAAATAAAGTGTTGTGGACTTATGTGAAAAATTATACAATTATTACACTGAAAGTACTAATAATTTTGAACATGATATGTCAAGATCAAAGTTTTTAAAGCTGATAAAGGAAATGTTTGCATATATTATATTTAAGATATTATTAAATTCAAAAAGTAGAAAAAACTTTAAAGTGATATACATATATCTCAGAAATTCGAAAAGTCCAAAAGCAACGTGATTTAAAGTGCACGTGATTCAGGAATCTATCCACTACAATACATGTGAAAATTAAAGTGATCGGTGAAGTGTTTGAGAAAGGTGTTTACCTCCTTTATATCTCAATCGTAAATAACAAAATTAAATTTAAAGTTATCTCGTATACTGTCGCGATTATTTTATCGGGTTAATTATATTATTGAGACGAATATAGAGTTTAAAATATGTGTGATTTGCACATATCATATACAATTATATGCATTAAGTTATGTTTTTATAAGCGCGAGAGAGATTCAGTTTTAATAAACACAGAGTAAATCGTAGAATATATTTTCGCGCGCGTACAAAAGTTTTACATTTTACCCAAATATTTCTCTTTCCAAAGTGATGTCTTTCAAGGTAATATACCTTGGTTTTCGTCAAACAAATAAGTTAGGCTTGTTAAACTTCTCGTCAATATATACCACATCTTTCCACGTTAATTTATCAAACAAACGCGCAAACCCCAGGTCAAGCTTGGCGTCCCCATTTTAAGACGCCAGCTCGTTAAAGTCATTTGAGGGAGCAGTTTCCTACCATCATCGCCAACCTTCCCTTCGTGAAACGGAATCTATCTTGCAGCCGCCAACAAGCCCCAACTTTCTTAGAAGCCAGGCAAATCTTTTTCAACCCCTGTTTTTCGCCACCCCAAGCTCTACGCCGCGGACGACTTTATTAGAAAATGGCTGCGTCGTGAAGCGTCTTAATATACGGTGTTTATTTTCCCCCTAACAACATCTTTGTAGTATCGAATCTTGTGCGCTTTTTATTATAGCGGTTTAATAATTAATATATAATATTAAAAACAATAAAATTAATTGTTATAATATATAACTATTAATTTCTTTTATATTAATAGTTTAATATATAATATTAAAAACTGATTAAAATTAATAGATAAACAATCGTAAATAGAAAATAAAAAAGAACGTATTTAGTATAATTCTTTTTGAAAATCAAAGGAGGAAATATATATTTCTTCAAGGTAAAGTAAACGCGATAGCAAATAATTTGTATTTCACAGAACACTGGACAGATTAGATGGCATATTCGATTAAAAAACGTAGCTTATGTTACAATTACGTCAAATCATTTATTAATAAAAATTATTAAAAATTATTTGAGAACTTTTGAAAGAGTTAATGGAGATTTTGGATTTTGAATCGATCGGCTTGAAACCGATATAGCCGGAAGAATAGAAAAGAGGAGTCCTTTGATAATTATTCTAATCAAACGATCTTTGTCACGTGCCTTTCCTTTGGCATAGAGAGAAATTTTTTTTATGAGATTTTAATTAATTAAATTACGGTTAATTCCGGTTGAGTAATTAAGAGCGCCGCATTTGAACAAAACGTAATGCATGTTTCTGCAGGTAGAAGAATAAAGAACATGGAGATTTGAAGTATCTATAGTAGGCAGTAATAAAATAATTGTTCAGTTAATTTCTCTCTCTCTCTCTCTCTCTCTCTCTCTCTCTCTCCCTCGCGTGCGCGCTCGTTAATCAGAGTTCACGTGTGCTTGCTTATTTAAAGGCATGTTAAAAGTAGTTGAACTCTATAAATTAATTTCTTGCAGAAACATTATATAAATATTATTATTATCTTCTCATTTATGGTTAGTTAATTATAGTTTGTCATGATAATTGATATTTGTGTGTATATATACAACAAAGAAATGCTATTTAAGTGTTACTATATTATTAATTATTATTAAAGTTATATTTTTTCTATTTTAGGATATTCGCAATCAAAAGGATCATTTCCGAACACGAGTCCAGGTAAGATTTTTATAAAAATATTCTACTATATATCTCTAGAAAATCTTAATATATATATTTCTAATTGTAAAATAATACTGCAATAATTCGAAGTTTGATGTTACTCAGATGTGTAACCCAAATAATTAAAAAAAACACATACCTTGCAAATAACAAATATTATAATTAATTTTAATTTATTCATAAATATTTATAGTAATGCGCACGGGTCATATTTATTGAAAGAAATTTAATAAGGTATACAAGCTACAAGACAATAGATAGATTCATCTAGATAAAATATAGGTATATAGGTATATAGATATAAAAATATAATTCTCCAGAAAATCGTAACTCCCTCAAAATTTGACAAGATAACGATAAAAAGATGTGCCGACATAACATTTTTATGCGCAATAACACCCACACGAAGCTCTTTACGCGTTTTCGCGGAACGCACGGAAATTTACCAGACTTCCTTCTCAAGGCAGCAAAAGCGACTGCCAAAATCGTAAACTCATTCGTGTCGTCGCGTCGAATTTATGACGCTTTTCGGACGCGAGAGCTGTGAAAAATTGATCGTACCTATATTATGCGTACGGTATATACTTGTTCCTCTTTGTAAAAGTAATATTTTCGAGTCGCATACTTCTTCTACAAGCGTGAAATTATGTAAATAGCGAATTTGCATTAGTCAGTTATATGTTAGTAGTAAACGATTATGTTATATACTAATTTGTAGTCTTTATTCTTTGGCAAAGCGTTATTTCACAGATTATAGAGGATATCAATTTTCTTAATGAATATCAATACAAATGCGAGGAAATAAGATGAAAAAAAATATAATCATCAGAAATAATACTGGCTCATCATTCTAGTATTAATAATTCTACGATAATGAGTTCTACAGATGCCATAACCATTATCGCCATATGATGACATCATGTGCACACTGGAAGAGAAAAAAAAACTGCTTACGTATTCATGCGCGCGATGATTTCGATTTTTCCGAACCATTAAGCGCGGCCCGTTTGGCCCGCAAAGCGATGTCGCTCGAAACAAGATACGACAAGTTGAAAATGATTACCGAGGATGAGTTTCGTATCTAATGGGGACGTATTTCTGCATTACTTGCTACGGATATTCACTGTCACATCATATAACCAGTCAATTAATTATTATTAGCAATTTTAGGGTATAACACTATTTGGTATAATACGGTTAATCTTTCAATAATACTAATATTTTTGTTAACGTTGACAAAAATTATATTTGTGTTAATTTCGAATATCTATTATCTCAACAATTATTTACTAGAAACAATGTTGTTCGACAAACCGTGTGCGCGTGTTATCTATACTCAATTATTATAATTTTATTATAATTCTATTATGATGTAAGAAAAAAATATAATTGATCTTTTAATATTAAAAGTAAACTGAGAATTTTAGTATTAAATGATATTATTGGATAATTATTTGAAGCAAGTTTGTGTCGAAATTTGCACGCCTCAAAATCTTATTTCCAATTCTGGAGAAATAAATAGCCCCCAACACACACACATCATTTAATTTATATGAGAAATATAGACCAATGCGAAAGATAAAGATATCCCAAAGCGTGCAGCACCCTTAGAAGCGATTTAAGATTTGACAGCAGGCGTGGAAACGTACTCGAATTTCGAGCGGAAAAAGTCTCCTGTTACAGATTAGCGTTTCAATGTGGGTGTATCCGCAGCACCATCAATTTCTCAAAATATTTTGACGTAAAATACAATATATCTATACGAGCCATGTTGATTAAATGGAGTTACATTAGATATATTAAATTATATTGATTTTATAATAAAATGTCTTTTATTTCATTCAAAATTAATTGAAGTGAAGATTTTTGAAGTAAAAATCGTGAAAATATGCATTTGACATTTTTACAAATCTTTAGCTCATTTAGTATGTTAAATATTCCTAAATTTTATATATTTATAATAGATTGAAGAAAGATAAATTTTTTACCTTTATGTATAGTGTAATTAAGCAGAAATCGGGAATAACAAATTTAATGAAAATTATTTAAATTTAAGAAAAATATATTATAATATCTTTTAACTTCCTTCCTCGTAATGCGTCTCAGTTTTTCGTTAAATATTTAGGGCGCGAAATTTTTCACGCAATGTCCACGTGTACATACATAATCAAGATGCTACGTCAAATCGGTGTCGAATGAAATCTGCGCGCGTTTCTTCTCGCGAAAAAACTGACAGCAGGTGCCGGACGGTTGAATTCCACACACATAGTGTTTTCGCGCATCTTCAATTTTCAGCGGTCTTTTCCAAGTAGCACCGTCGCTATCGCCGGGGGAAAGAAGGAGATGCGGGAGGCAACGCGCGAGTCTCCTTTTACTCGCAGGATTCTCCGTGGTATTTTCCTTTGCCGGCAAATTGGACTATTACGAGCTCGCAGAGCTCGTACCTCAGAAGCGCATTTTCGCGAGAACCGCGTATTTTCTCGCCCATCCACTATTTGGGAAATCCTTCACACTACGTTTCGCTTCCGTACTCATTCTTTCTCCCTCTTCTCTCTCTCTCTCTCTCTCTCTGTTCGTCTCTCACCTAACTCTCTCGCGTCTCAAAGTGCTGTGCACAGTTGTTAAAACAACCAATTCCGACGAAAAGCCCCTCGTTACTGGGTGTCTGCCGTTTTGCCGCGGGGTGCAGCTTCCATAATTCTGACGGAAGACACCACGGGCCTGTAAAAGAAGTCGTCGTGCGCTCATAAAGACGCGCGTGAGGATTGCTTCACCTGATAAATATTGGGCCTCGACATTGTTCGTAATCGTTACACTTTCACATTGAATGTTTCCACAAACCGTGACGTTTCTGTAGAAAACGATATTTAATATCATTGATATATTTATCGCGTGATTTTACATATATTATGTACTTATAATAAATGACATTCCACTGTTCTAATATAAATTTTATGTCTGCAAAAATTTAATAATATTTAAGGATTTGGTACTTTAAAATGATTTAGGAACACTGACCTAAGGACGTTATTAATTTACGCAATATATTGTACATTAAATTAACAAGTTTCTGATTAAATAACTTTCATACGTTGGGGGTTAAATTATGCGAGATATATGAAGAGAGAGATGCATTCATGTTTTGTCAATGTATTTTGCTATCTGAATACACCGCGTCAAATGGTAGTGCATATTTCCAATTATAATTAAATCAACAAGAATGGTTCTCTAATTATTCGTAGCGTTATCGCGACGATTAATAATTGCTGTCATAACTTTGCATTAAATTTCATGGATTCCGTTCAAATAGGATAACGCCAAAATATTATATATGTATGTTATGTGTTTTATCAATATATACTATTATGATTTCGCTAATTATTTCACCAAATATTCTACTCGGTTCACGCAAAATTAGAGCGTGTGTTATATTCCTAGTAAAAAGGCACATATAATAATCAAACATATATATAAAATATATGATATATATATGATT